CAATTCCTACACTGGACAGGCGATTTGTTCAAGTATACAACCAAAGCGATCCGGCTACAATAATATCCTTACCCGACGACATCTTCTCGGTTAAGTGCAACTCTTCAGTAACGGCAAGAAATCTGACGAAATGCCGAGTTATGGACACTTGCAAATGCACATCCAAAACCACAACAGTTTTGTGTCGCTGTGCCAACATCAACATTACGGAAAGAATGTCATCCCTTGACACTCGCTTACCAATACTCAACTCGGAATTTTCCCTGGTAGCTGAATCGGGTTCAGTAACCATGCTGAGTCATGCATCCGTTGCTGAAATCTCCATAGCAACGGTTGCACAGTGGAAAACAGCTACAGTCATCGTTCCCACTACCTGCGATGTCCAGGTAACGCAAGCGAAAGGATGCTACAACTGTCTTCAAGGAGCAAAAGCCGTCTTTACTTGCACCTCCAAAATCAATACGATACTAGAAGTGATCTGCACGGACCATCACTACACCATAGATTGTGCACCAAAGGGAGCAAACACTACAATTGTGATCAACTCTATAGCTGCCAACTACGCTGCACAATGCTCAGCTCGGTGTGGCTCAATCCAACATGATATGTCACTGGCACACTTATCACTGGCACACTCCAATATCACTCACTGTGGAAGGATCATGCTGATGTCTCAAACACAGAAAGCGCTAACTATGTGGATCTTATAAACATCCCGGATCTAAACAACATCGCTCAAGTATTCGCACAATGCTGGAAGACCTCACTGCTGGCAGTAGCACTGGTAGCCATGGCCGTCATCACCACCATAATCTGCGGTCCAATTGCTCTCAAGAAATTGCCTGCTTAAACTTGACGAACGACCTTCTGTATCATATGTACATATCGCCTACATATCGTCATCATAGCACTTACTGCACATACAATCATGACTAGGTCATTATAGCCCGCCATAATGCGCGACCTGGTCGTAAATCCTACTCTGATATCATATCAACGCACACCTGAAGAAGCTTTACAACAACTAAAAGAAAGGTCATCACCTCACATATATATAACCCAGTATCCGGCAATCACATCATTGCGATATTCCCTTCTTCAACTACCATGTCGTTCACCTCTGTCCCGGAAGAAGACCTTCTCGATCTGTCGATCACCGCCGAAGAACAACTGTGGAATGCAGCCAATTGCCCTGCCCTCGAAGCCGAAACTCCCATCGCTCCAACACCTGATCAATTCCGCCAATCAACACCAAAGAAGACTCGCGGCGGCAAAAGAAAGCGAATGAGGAAGGAAGAAGACAACGAAGGCGAGCAACCTTTCAAGATTCCAAAAGTTAGTGTACTTCCAGGAGTAGTGCCTAAGCCGAAAATTACACTTCGGCCCCTACTCTTGTCCACTACGGAACCCGGCTGCATCTCCACCAAGGACGTGGTGGACATGTTCCATGCAATCATGGATCAAACCACGTCCGCGGACAGGCGTCTGGATCGACTGGAGGACGCAGTACGTGTCATCAGAACACAACTGGATCGGATCGAGAAGAATCAGCAAACGAAGGACCAGCAGCCACTTCCGCCTATCCCGAAGCCGCATGGTTGTCCAGAGGTCCCTCCGACAAGGTACTGCGAGGTATGCCAAGTCGGGGGCCATCAAGCGGCGCAATGCCGCAACAAGCGCAACATGGACCCCTCCTACGTACATCGCCTGTATAAGAAAAAGGGAATCTGTAAGATTTGTCACGCGATACATGAGATGCAAAAATAATTTGTTGTAATTTGCTGTTGTTTTTCTAGATTTTCCTCATTGTATTGTGTGTGCTTTATCAATAATTGATTCATATTTTTTTTTCTTGCATTTTATTGCACTTCAAAGTCGCAATAAAAATTTTTTAGCTTTCATTGTTGACCTCACAGTATAACAGTTTCGCCGAATGTAATCGCTATCCATCTCTTCCACATTACGCGCTTCTCGCGCTTTTCGGCTGGCCCCCCACTGTCGATAATAATAGAATAATTATCGACCATTATTTTACATTGTATATTATTCTTGTCGTTGACAAACCATCCTAGCGTGGAACACTTAAGCCGCCAAGGTCACCCCCCATTGCTGCTTGATAGCACACTTGGCGGCTATTACTTTCATGTAAGCATCAATAATTTTCGAGTGATACCTGTATGATACTATTGTTTGCCAGAAGGAAGCATCTAGGTTGCCACGCCCAAAATAGTGGCATAAATAGACCTGGATGCTCACTTCTGGACTCGTCTCGCCAAATCTATATTCCACTGGAATTGTTTCCCGAATAACCAAATTCCTTCAACGTAGTGGCATCCAATATTGGTTAACACCAAATGCAGGTTGAGGAAAAAGCCATTGCTGCCACTGTAAGCACCGACCATGCCAAAGAAAGAATAAATTGAATATTCAGAAACAAGTTACTTTACATCCTCTACTCCCATTAACTGCAGGATATCTAGTTTCTTCAACGCTGCTTTCAACTGAGTCGCCGAAGTTAAAGCCAAGAACGGGGGTGGAAGTTTATTTGAGATCGAAGCTGCCCGGTAAAAGAAGTTGTTGCGTTGCAGCGAGATATTGCACTTCCAAACCTAGAAGCAACCAAAATAAAGAAGGCCTGCGCTCACTAATAGGTTGAAAACCCAGTATTTACTGGGTTTCAAACCCACCTCGCCTCGAAGAACTTTGAAAGCCATAAAACCATCTGCCAAAAACCTTCTGTAGAAAAGAGTTTCAAGACCCAAGTTCCGTATTCTGATTGTATAGTCAGGTAATGCGTAAGGATAATTTGGGTTGGGAAATGTAAAACTACCCTAGTCTAGTGAATATTTTTTGAATTTTTTCAATCTTACCAACATCTTTTTTTAACATAGGATTCCACACAAAGCTGCAATACTCTACCACTGGAAGAACCAAAGTCTTGCAGATTTTGAGAAGGAATTCGGGATCAGAGGATTGAACAGTGCGCAAAATCGTATACAATATTCGAGTCTCTCTAGATACGATTTCGTCAATATGGTAAGAATATTTTAATTTAGAATCTGTAAGAACACCCAAGTCTTTGACCAAGAACTTGCATTCAAGATTTAAGCTATCATTTGGATGAAAGCGGGTTCTGCCAATAGGAACAGTGCAGCTTTTGGAATAACTTACTTAAACATTCCATCTATCTGCCCAATCAATCATTTGAGAAATTGAGGTGCGGAGTGCTGCATGCGCCACTAACCTTATCGTGCTGGTCATAGGCAATGTATATATTAACATCAACATCATACGCAGCAACTTTAACACGTGGGTCTGTGATCAGAGTGGCTGGCAAGTCAATAGTATATAAAATAAAAAGAATAGGCGACGAATACTGCCTCGGGGAACTCCAGATCTGCACGATCTAGTCGTCGAAATTCTGTCAAGTACACGAACAGAGAAGGTTCTATCATGAAGATGTGATTCAAGCCATATCAGTTGTATGTAACCCTCTGATTCCAAGCTTTCTAGCTTAGCCAGAAGAAGATTATGATCCACTGTATAAATGCTTTACTCAAGTCAAAATAGACCACATCTATAGTTTATGAGGTTGTCTCATAATCAATGCACGTTTTTCTAACCTTTTTTTTTGAAAAAGCTAATTCTCAAAGAAAGTTCATTTTTCTTTGAAACCCTTTAGAGTATTAAAGCCCGATACTTCCAATCTTCAATGTTGCTTTTGTTTTCGCAAATCTTTGTTCAAATTGGAGTTCCATGCTTTCGAAGACAAGTGAATAAAACAGGAAGTTCTTTCCTTTCACTTCCTTGCTCTAAATCTTTGAAATAGACGTATCTCCTCTAAAGAATATGCATAACGAATGCGAAGTTCTGCGCTACATACAAAACGTTTGTCAATATTTGACAAATCCGAGAAATCTTGTCTCAAACTTGGCTGGTCGCTGAGGCCTATGGGACGGTCAAGAGGCGCGATTTCTTCGGCTGTCACCAACTTAAAACTCTAATTTAGTGCTATACGAGTCTTCAAAAATTACCAGATACAGTGCATTAGCTTACTATCTGTCTGAGGTCACCACTTGCTGAGTTTCGTGGTTTTTGCTATGAATCGGACTAAATTATTTACGAATTTGTTCTGAAACGCATTTTCATGAGTTTTTGACCTTCAAAATTGCTGCTTTGAATTTGTTCTACAATATCAAGATTGAACAACTTATGCAACTATCTAATTTATCTTCTTCTAAATTTCTTATACTTCTAGAAAGTTGCAGAACACTTATAATGTGCCATTTGATGTCCAGCTGGCAATAAAAATCGCGCCTCTTGACATACACCCCTATTTATGCTGCATAAAAACCACAAGTAAAAAGCAACTGTACAAATTTCGCTAGGTACACCTAAAGTGGACTTAGTCTAATGCTAGGAAACGGTGGCATTATCGTCTTTTCGAGGAGAAAAAATAGAAAAAATCCCAAAAGGCAGTTTTTCGGATTTTCGAAAGTGCTAAAAAAAGTGGGTACTTTAATTTTTTCTGCAAATTCCTCAGAGAAAAATGCCGTAAAATCCAAACTTCACTCAGTTGCGTAATCGACCATCGGCTATATAATGAGCAAAGTTCGCTCGATCCCACTACATTGGAGAGCAAGTCAAGCCCTCTCGAAGCATAGATTTCTGAAAAAAGTTTAGGAATTTTTTGGTGTGGAAAATCCATCGCAAAGCGGCTGCGATTCATGCGTTATACGTTATATAGTCAAAGGTTTGATGTTTGCAGTTATATTTACTGCGCTCAAAAAGACACAACATCCTTCGAAAACTGAAATTTCTTGAAATTAGAGTTGAGTCAGTCAATCAACGATTAGGAAAAATTTATGTAAAAACCCGTGCTTACAATGAACAATACGAGTTGAGGTTCTAGCAATTCGACACTTTTGAATTCATATTAAAGCGATGTCACAGAATTAACAAAGCATTGAAGCGAGTAAGATTATGCTAATAATGAACGGCAAAGATAAGAAATGATGGTTTCTCAGGTTTTCTGAGTCATAAAGCTACCTTGATCATTAAGAGAACAATGGAATATTTAGGCGATTAGCGAAAAATCGAGTCCAACTCGACCATTTAGCGTTAGAGGCTGATTTCAAGGGCATGATCAAAGTGAATTCCATCAGTGAAGATAAGGGATATAGAAGCGTTCAATCATCATCATCATCATCATCTCCTATAACTTGCTCTGCTCCTGATGATCGCATACGAAGAGCAGCTAGGAGATCGGCGGGCAGGGCACGTGAAGGCGGATTCTCCGTAGTGTCGTCAGATGTCATCCGGTTGTCCGGCTGATAATTATGATCTGAGGATTCGTATACAGTGCTGCTTGTTTCTTCCTGAAGTTGTTCTGTTTATGTAAGGATCTGCGTTTACGTTCGGAAAATTAGCTAAACAATTTTGGCTCATGAGCTTCTCGAAACTATTGGAAATTGCCAACGTTGAAAAACTTCAAACGTTGAAAAACTCCTAGACACTTTCCTTCTCTCTCCTTTCTTTTTTTCTGGTAAGGTGACAAGTTACAATTAATTTGGACATAGCAAACAACATGATAGTCAACTAGATTACTATACAGGCACGAATTTCTAGCATCGTCAAAGCCAAGGCTGGCTTACAGGTAGACAAGCTTTCGAATTTCTTCGTTCATTGTATAAATGGTGGTGATTTCACATAAAGCAAACGATCCCTACTACTATTTAGCGAAAATTTTACAGTCCCGTCGGCAAAGACGCGATAGCACTCAAACTGATATCACGATTAGTAGATAAGCGAACTAAATATAATTAATGACGTAAGAAAATAAAGCGATTACGTAAAGGCATTTGAGGGAGATCTTCAGAAGATGACTTATCAGTTTTTTGTAAAACGTCTGCATAGAAATTTTCGTTCAAGGAAAAATTGTTGTTTAGAAGCGTAGAAGGAGAACGCAGGTTAGAGACGTATGTCGATGCCGCCGCACATTTACAGACTGTGATTTATGGTACACAGATCAAAAGACGAAAATTTTAAGTACATGCTTGCAACGCCTTCTAGAAGCACCTTACATCCCAGACTGTCTTACATTAAGAAGAGAATATACATGCACAAACCTTTCCTTGCACATCATCCTCGTCATCTTCACAACAATTCTGTGCCTCTTCTAGTTCGTCTAATTCAGCATCAGTTACTCCATAGAATGCTGCAAGAGCACGCCGTTCTCGAGCAGCAAATTCAGAAGCTCGACCTTCCAACGCTCTGTGCAATTCATCCATCAGTTCAGGATTTTGATGAAGAACTTCATCTTCCTAGATAACTAAACAATTATTTTACAGGAGTCAAAATAACCTCAAAAACTCACAAATGACATTATTTTTCCTTCGTTTCCCTCACTGGATGCTATAACTTCAAACACCTGGAATTTTCAGGTTACGAATTCTGTACATTTACTCAAGATACCCTTACCTCATCGCGAAGAGGCCGTGGTGGAGCTAACTCTCGCAATACAGCATTTGGTCTGGCACCATATTCCTTCTCCGTACTTCCGTCATCCATTTCATCCACTTTCTCATCATTTAATGTTTTTGCTGTGGCATTGAAAATTCGCATAGATAGCACCCGCTGCAGCGCAGTTCTCACTTCGTCAGCAGATGCATTTTTGCTTGCAATTCTAAACAAATATTCAGCGACACTTCATTAAAAAACTTATAGCTTTTACTTAGTAATGATCTCATCAAGCATGACAGCCACTTCATCCAGTCCCCCAATTTTTGCCGCTTCTGCAGGGTGTAATTTATTGGTTTTGGTCCTTTCGTGCAATACGGTATTGGTGAATGCTGAAAGTGGTCAATTCTCATATTTTCTCATATATTCTCTCCACATCTTCGTCATGCATCTTTGAGTTCTCTCTATCTACAAAGGATTCTTGACTACTTGGAGCCTTTTGGAAATACATGATTTAGCTTTCCTTTCCTAAAAAAAGTTCTTTCGAAAAATAAATCAAGATATATCCCCGCTTCCCCTCTATTCGAAACGGAGATTTTTCATCAAGTCATGTAGGTTTTTCAAGTTAGCATATTACTATAATTCCAATCTAGGGAGGTGAAGAAAAACCCACCATTCAATCGAGTGACATGTCCACTGATATCGTAGATAAGCACGAAAATTATGCGAAGTACGAGTTTTAGAGACAGTAAAGCGGAAGAACGGTGAAGGTACAGGACCAACAGACGAAGAACTTCGCTGCGATGAAGCACGAAAAGATCAAGCAAAGCCTGCAAGTGAAAAACAATTGAAGGTACACCTTAACTTATTTCTTTTTACGAGGTATAATGTATTTTACATCCTTCTCACTGGGTGCCACAACGCTATTCAAAAAAGGCAAGACTCAGTTATCAAGAGCATCATCGAAAACTATCCTCCTGCAATGCGTCAAAAACCTTACCCCTATTCCTCTTTGTGTGACATGTGGGGAGTCCACATTCACATCTGACTGGACTAGCTCTCGCATCTCTTCTGTGTAAAAGCCGCTCACCAGACGATCCCGCTCTTCTGACCTGAACAGAAGAAAAGTTACCTTTCCCAGCCATATTTCTGGTATGGACGTCAACAATCCTATAATCCACCCTGCCTTGCAGAAGTCATTTTCGGAGTTAGTGGATGGGCGATGGGCCACGAAAAATTGAGGTGATCTTGCTTTCTCCCATGAAGTAAGGATGCACTTGTGATAACCCTTGCTACATTCATGTACAAAGGTAATTCTGTCTCAGTAAGACATTTTTTTCACTCTGAGAGCGTCTTTTCCTGGTTGAAAATGCGAGTTGTCAGACGTGATTTTGATATTTACGACGTTTTCGCATGATTCGGGAACCTTCCGTCCACTTAGTTCGGATAGTTTTCTTTTCAAAAGTCAGCAATCAATATTTGCAAAGATATGGTATTTTTGGGGGTGCAAGAGAATATTTCTGACAATCACGAGCGAAATCTCGAGCTTATCTCTACCAAGAATATTTCAGTGAAGAATTCAAACTAATGTAGAGTGTAACTCTTCTTAGAAACATTCAAACGTAACAAAACCAGATGGGCTAATAGAGAATATTCTCAGCTTCCCAAAAGCTTTTTTGTTTGCTTTTGAAAGCAGAGCACATTGTGCAGGGCACAGCCAGTGACCACATTTTTTACACAGAAGGAAAAGCAATTTCGAAGTTTTCTTAGTAGAACTTACATAAAGTCGGCAGAGACTAGACAGTCAGCTAGTGCGGTCACATAGAAGACAGTGGCTCTACATCGACGGAAAAGTTCTAGTCGACAAGCGGATAGTGCTTGCGATTTTGACAAGCCTAACCTGAATGTACTGATCACAATAAGAAGAATTTCAAGAACTTGAACTTACCCAAAAGACAACATTTCCCTTTTTAAAAGAGCTTGATTCGCTCTTCGAGCCGCAGCATCCAGCTCTTCCAAAATTCTTATGAATTTTCTCAGTCTCCACTTTGCAAACATCCTAGCGAGGTAGGCACACAGTAAAAATCCAGTCGCAATTGCTGTTGGTATTATATATTGCCAAGTTAAAATTAGTGAAGCCAACGCCACAACTACAGAGGCAGGAAACATCCATTGATATTGGCTCGATACCTCAGAACCAGATTCAGTGACCAGCATAAGGTCATTTTCGTCGATCTGAAACAGGGGAAATTTTCAGACAGTTTTGTTTTCTTCAATATTGTTTTTCTACCTCCTCCAATAATTCAGCAGACTGACTTTCATCGAGAAGGCATCGCGCCGCGAAAGCCCCAACCGAATGCTCGCCAGTCATATCTAAACACCTTTTACTAGTTATAGAAAAATCCTGAGAGCTAAATGGGGAGGTCGGTCTTTCTCAAAATCAGGACTTCCGCAATACGAGAGTAATAGGGATGCGACAAGTAAGAAGTGTAGAGTACGTATATATGAGAAGCAAAAAGTTCAACTAGTTTTGGTTTCACCAAAGCACACCATTCTCTTCAAGAAAAATTTTTGGGGAAGTCTAAATTCTTACTCTTTTTACAAAAAAGACTTTTTGGACGTATTTCACCCTATACCCTTTGTGGGATAGACATTTTTTCTACGTCATCATGAAGACAATCAGCTCGGACGACCACAAATTCTCCTGGCCGCTACAATGCGTATGTAATTTCCTAAAGGTAGTGTCACGGCAGAATTTCGTTTTCCAGTTTTTTTAAAGTTTTTTCGGAACTTTCTCGCCATGAAAAATACATATTTGGACTTTTCAGCGCATGAAAGGCGAAAATAATTTTTCCGAAACCTCCCTGGTCCGCATTTAACGAAGATACGCCGGAAGTCTTTCGCGTCCCGCCTCCTTCGTTCCGGACCCCGCCCGCTCACACGTATTTTCCACTGAATGCGGATCTGGAAAGCTTCAGAAAAAACTCAATTTTGCCATTTTCATGCGCTAAAAAGCCTAGAAATGAATTCTCGTAGCGAGAAGGCTCCGAAAAGGCGAAAATCTGGAAACGAAACTCTGCCGAGACACTACCTTTATGTCACATATGGGTACAAGCCGCAAAAATAAAAACTGATTTCACTCAAAAACTGGCATTTCTTTGCGAGTATCGCCGTTCCTGTTCGGTGTTTCGCTTTATCGAGACAGATATTTGTACGTTAAAAAAACTTCCTGTCTTCAAGTATATGGTGAGGTTCTTATAGTCCTTTTTTTGGATTCATTTTCATTTAAGATGTTTTATTTATTTTTTGTACTCCCTACTAGTTTATAAATACCCTTATACACATTTAGCCACATGCGAAGACAGTACAGCTCGCTTCTCAGCAATGTTTGGCTTGCTGTCTATCATCTCGTGTCCGTTCCCGAAATAAAATGAGTTAGGCAAAGGAAAGAATAAAGAATAGAGTATGTGTTTTATGTAATCGCGAAGCAGTCAAAAAAATTCGAAAGTTCTTCATTACTAAGAAAGAGGGTGATTTTCACGATATCCTGGCGTCAAGAACGGGGCTCGGCACAGGTGGCATATGAGCGAGGATGTTTTTTTTATTTTTAAGGATTATGGTGCAGGGTCAAAGGGGACTTCGTAAAGATTCGCAAAAGTCAAGTGGGACTTCCTTTTTTGCATTAAGAACTAGCCACCTCGTGCCGAGCCCTGGTCAAGAAGAGAAGAGAACGAAGTACGAGTCAGAGAATGATAGATGTGCATTAGCTAATAGGCCAAAATGAAGTTATCCAGAAAATGTATCTAGACTGTATCAACACACAAACTTTTCTAGTCAGCATCATTTTCACTAACACATACGCTATGGCTGCTGCGATTTCACTTACTATCCTCCTACTTATGTTTGTAAACACGATTCAAGCAAAAGTTAGTCAGATCTAACGATAAGATACCATCGCTTCAAGACGGCTTCTTTCAGAATTTAATGGAGCTCTACGCTTACTGCTACAGTAACGCGGAAGACATGGCTTCCCTCAAAAGAGGTGAGACACCAACTCCAGAAAAGTTACCAGAATGGTGCATCACAATGCGGAACGATGTGGCGCCATGCATTATTGAAAAGGTAGAGTTTACAGTGTATATTAAAAGCGCAGTCCCTTTTCTGCGTGTCGCAAAGCTTTTGCGACGCGTTAGCGGGCTACGAAAGTCATTTTGACACCCTTCAAATTTCCTTCTGAAGCAGAGAAAAAGCCTATGAATTTTGTCCTCAGAAATTCATTTTTTTTTTTGCGTACGGAGCCACCCTACTGTTAGTTGTAGACTATGAATTTACATCCTCTAACATTCTCCGAAATTTAATTAACTACTCTTTTTCAATCCGCAGTAGGCGAAACATTCGAAGTGGAGCTCCGCACCGCCACTGGCTTAGCGAGATTGATTAGAATGAAGAGACGCAGACTGCAAAGCGGCGCGAAACGTTGCGAAGCGGGCATCCAATTTCCGCCTAAGCCAAGTTGGAACTTACTGTAACTTGAAAGTTTTAGTTCCCTATGACCGACGATGGAAGTATAGCTTCACGCGGAAACGTACTACTAACATTCTACAAAATTGCAAAAGATGAAAGAATATTAACTCACGTCAAACTATATCATTACGGATGCTTATACAACAGCTGGCATAATTATCTTGCAGATGACGAATGTTACAAGTGAGTGGGCCCCTTCCTTTTAACTCCATTTTCTGACCATGCTGAAAGCAAACGAACTATGGACTCTCAGACAAATGCTATCGCAATGTGTGCGCGGTAATCAGTCCTGTTACTACGTTCCATGTGGTGGAGGAGATGAGAAGCACAAGGTTTATAAGGTGCTCAGTTCTGCGGACAAAGAATCAGAACCACCGAAATCATCTGCATGTGGAGTAATCAGATATCTAGTTACTATTTCGCTAATGGCACTCTTATATGTTGTGTAAATGAACATACAATAAAGATCGAATCGCTTGTACTAAAACTTCATGGGTTCAGATTTTCGTATAGTCTCTATGGCTCACTATACACCATCTGCGGGTGAAAGATCATGATACGATGAACATCCTAGAAGGAGCACATAGACTGACTCAATGAGAGTCACAGTCAGGGCTCGGCAAGCGTTGGCTCGGAGCATTCTTGGAAACGAGGTCCCCCATGACTTCGCGAAATTTCACGAAGTTTCTTTGACGTCGAAATCAGTAGGGGAACCCTTTTCAAACTACATAACAATAAACAAGCGAAAAAAGCGTATTTTGAGGTGTCTATTATAAGAAAAAAGCAAAAGAAAAGCATTTGAGTTGATTAGAGGCTCCCTTGTCAAGTATGGTACCACTTTAGGGTCAAAAGTCGAAAATCTCCTAGGCCAACCAAATCCCTGTAGCCTCAACTATTTGGCGATGATGCATTCTTCGCCACATACAGTAAGTTTCAACTCAGTTTAGGCGGAAATTGGACTGGCGGGAGTCCACTTCGCAACGATTCGCGCCGCTTTGCATTCTGCATCTCTTTCTAGTCTATCTCGCTGAGTCAGTGGCGGTGCGGACGCGCTGCTACAATTTTAAGGGTGGAGGACATTAGGTCGCCGAATTTGGAAGAGTCCCGCGCGGATTCCCTGCAGGAACGCATGTCCGCGCATGTACAAAGGTGCGTATTTGTCGCAAATGACCGCGGGGTAATGTCCTCCACCCCAATTTTAATGTTTCGGCTGCTCCTTGAAAAAGACTGTAGTTCAAAGGACACTGCATGTGATTGGAGCGCGATACCTATCAATGAGTGAGTTTACACTACTTCTGGCTCAAAAAAGAGGAAAGGCAATGGTTTGATTTGCTCTTTTCACTGTATGGTAGATCTTTGAGCGTTCTAATCGTCAAAATCAGAAAATTCCAAAACTTACGCAGATTCTCCGATATTTATGCTCCGAACAAACCCAGTTGGTTTGGTGTTGGTTTAGAACCCAACAAATTCAGGTATCAGGACACATAAGTACTTGAAATTTTTTACATAATGTAGTTCAGAGTATTATTGTATACACATAGCCTAAATTCGGAGCCATGCGATTGTTTGTGTGCTGTACATAAGCTATTTGTTTGTCTGGGTTTGGTTTGAAATTCGCGCCCTTGCGAAAGATCACGTCCCACGGAACGCAGTGCCAGCGATGCAGTCGCGTACACTTGACTTGCTACAAATGTAGCATTCTCAGTGAGATACCCTATACCTTTCAAAATGAGATGTGTCTCCTAGCGTTTCCCCAATATTTCATGCTTTCTAGGCATAAACATACTTGAAGAGATTAACTGTTGACTTCGAAATCATGTACGCTACACCATTTTCTATGCTGAAATGAAGCTGTTGCACTGAAGTACTGACAAAACCCATTAGATGTTAGGGCTACCGACACCTAGAAGATTCAACCGAGAAAGGCCTACGAATAAAAATTTTTGGTTCCGCTTTCAAAAAAAAAACGTGCAAATTCAAAAAAGAATTAAAGGTGAGCTGCAAAAGAAGCCGAGACATCTCTGAAATTGCCAAGCATTCTAGAATTTCCTCTTCGCAGTAAGGCCTTGCAGACAAGTTTTTTCACACCATTTATAAGACCCTACAGCTATTTATGAACTCTAAAGGGAAACTAACTCGTTCAGCGTCTTCAGAACAGAATATACCCCATCAGGTCCAAAACTTTGACACCTTTTATGGAACTCAAAGAATATAGACTACACCTGCAAAGTTCTCATACAAAGCTAGTTATTTCTAAACTAGTTATAAAAGATTTTTCACGATAACTCTCGCCTTCCCAATAAAAACAAATGAGCTCAAATTATTTATGGACTCTCAGAACCATTAATTAGAATCGAAATCACAAGGTAAGCCTGCAGTGCCGACATCTTCAGAAATGAATACAAGGAGGGTTGAAACACATCAAAACGGGGGAGCTAAGACTGCGAAGATCGTTGCCGACTTTTTGCACTCAACTATGAAAAGAACCGAGAACTCTGAAGTATTGACATGATCTTAAAAGGCCACAAACTTAAAATCTTATCACCGGGTTAGCATGAGAAAAGAAAGTTAGAAGGCCCGAAACGCAACTCATCAGCGAGAACAGTAAAACTCTTGAAACAAGCGTCAGCGTAGAGCTGAAAAGAGCACGGGCCACCTTCTCGACCTCATGCCTTTTGGTAAAAGCACATTTGACACGTAAAAACAATATAAACTAAACCGTCTGATCTCAAGAAAGTTCGTATGCCACATTAAGTTAAAAACGCTCAAAAAAGACTTTCAACAACGACTATAAACATGTGAAAGCAGAGGATTAGATAGACTAATACGGGAGTGCACACCGCATTCGCTGCACCTAAGCCTAAGCCTACAATATAATCACAGGAATGCACCTGAACTCTCTTACTCATACAATCGGTGCAAGCGAATTTACGCGACGAAGATCAATCTATTGTAGAAGGAGCACTTCCCTAATGAGCACACATTATTCGGCTCAAAAGCAACGAACGTGTTGCTCTTAAACACTATGAATATCACTGAACAGATCATTCCTCCATTTCTTCTTCGACATTAGCGTCTTGTAACAAGGCATCAGAATGCTGACGTCGATATACAAGCATGTATGGTGTTCGCCCAGTTATAGGATCGCTCGGAGGGGCAATTTCGGATACACAAGAGTCATTAAAGTCATACCTGAAAAGCGAGCTCTATTTAGTGTTTGAGCGCTCAATAAAAAATTTTATACTATTTAGGCAAGAGTGATAACTGAAGACTGTCTCCAGCAAAACAAGAAAGTAAGAGCTCACCATTTTCCTGTTGTCTTATTGAGCGCCGAGGCCGTATAATGTCCACCACCAAGGCCTCCTACATGGTGACTCATCGCTATCAAATCGTATTTCACATGCTCGTGCTTCTCGTTCGCTAATTTCGAGTTTAACTCAAGTCCCCTACAAAAAGTTCAATTCATTTGAAAAGTCCTTACACTCAAAGTGTTTCCATACTCACTTGACTGGAATCACAACCGGTATATCTATTTTATCACGATGCCATTTGCTGTACTGGAACCGCTTCAAATGGATTATAAGAATCTGAAAAGCTACGAATGATCGGAGGATAAATGCGAAAAGCGAGATCTCACTTGTGGCAAACTCCAAAGATCTAATTTCTTCGACGCTCGCTCATGTTTTTTACATTTCGGGCAGTACCTTAAAAACAGCTATAATGAAGAAGAGAGGCAACAAAATACCATCATAAAGCCCATGATTAGAAGGACGAACATTAGTCTGCTATTCCCACCCTCCCTCCCCCTTTCATCATCTCCCTCCAGTTGCTTAGCTAATAGCGTAGAAATTTTGATAAATAATGAGTTGTCTTATACACTTCATTGTAAGAATGTGAAAAGAATTGAAGTAGATCGCACAAGTCTAAAAGACCAGCGCAGTTTCCATGTTATCCTGATTCAGTTAGGATTGAGGGAGACCGAAGTCTCATAAACCAGTGCTCGTGCAAGAATTCAGGGAGTTAGTTATACTATCTCAGCGCACTAGAGAGCATGCCAACTCTATAATTCCACATGATGGAAATGTGTCCACATACTCCTCCCCATCAAGTTTTAGGGCCGCATGCACTAACATCCCCGCGGGGAGGGGATCGCAGCTTAAAAGAAAGCTTTATATTTCGAAACTCCAGATACCTGGATTTCACGTTGTGTACCTATCCGTAAGTATTCCTATTACCCTTCACTATGAACATGTTGAAGAGGAGCGAGAAGCTGTACGAACCGCATTTTCCAGCTTTTGTATGATCCCTGATGATCCCCTTCGCTTTTCTTCAAAGTCATTTTTCTTTCTCCGAAGTTAACGAAGAATCTTCAGAGTTGTGCAGATTGTCTAACCCGACAGTGCTAAGCATGTTGCTGCTAAGAACAAATGATGTTTTGAGGTCATGAAATTTGCGATGATCCACAGGTCGAAATTTGAGGCTTACCGAAAAATTCGACTTTTCAAAAACTCATTTGTTCTCATCAGCAACATGCTTAGCAGTATTGTGTTAGATGTTCAGTACAACTTTGGAAGGTTTTCGTTAACTTCGGAGAAAGAAAAATGACTTTAAAGAAAACCGCCGGGGATCATCAGGGATCATACAAAAGCTGGAAAATGCGGTTCGTACAGCTTCTCGCTCCTCTTCAACATGTTCATAGTGAAGGGTAGTAGGAATACTTAAGGATAGGTAGACAGCGTGAAATCCAGATATCCGGAGCTTCAGGATATAAAGCTTTCTTCTGAAGCTGCGATCCCCTCCCCGCGGGGATATTAGTGCATGCGGCCCTTAGAAGATAGTGAAATTAATACTAACCAACTATCCTCCTCTCCCAGTTGTTCCTGCCTGGTGAACAGATCTACGCATTCCATCAGGTGTATGTCTTTACGAGATGACACAGAGACCTCCCGATCGATCAGATCCTGAATGTGTGAGTTCTTACATTCCCATTTTTATTATGGCACTAAGTAATACATTAGATATGTCGTAATCTCAGTTATAGCCTCAAATTGACATTATCAGCAAAACAAGTTTAGTACAACAAGTCCTTAGCGCTTAACCATGAACCAAATAACAACAATGAAAGAAAGAAGACTCACAGATCCCTTGTATAAGTTGAAGATTTGAGGATCTCTCCACTGAAAGACAATCGTATGCATCTGGATGCCTCCGGGCCAAGCTATGGGCTCATCTGGTGCTGCTGGGAAAGGAATTGCGTTACCGCCGTGCATAACGAACAGTTTATATCGCTCTATAATGTGCCCATTTTCGAATGGAATGCTATGTTCATTCATCCTGACGCCAACCTCGCTCTTCGCTATTTCGCGAATCATCCTCGAACAGACATTGTTCGAGAGGGGACTTCATAAATGTGTCGGATATGAACGGCAGTACCCGGTTTGCAAGAAAACTAAAACCAACAATTGAACGTTGTGTCTCAAAAGGAAACATCGTAGAAATTTGTTACAGCAAGGCTGATATTCTGCTTACCTCCTAGTGAGGTAGTCAGCGCTGGGCAGGGTGAACACCATAGGCAAGGAAAGAGTGCGCCCGGTCTGCGTTTGATTTCTAAAATTTCGAAATAGATTGCAACGTCAGAACAGCAGTTCGAACATACTTTATAACAACAATTTTGTGAGTATTTGGATTGTGGTCCACCTGACAAGCATACAATGATTGGGTTTTATCTTCTATGTAAATGGGTTCTGCAGGATCCAATAACCGTACTTCATCAGAAAAATCACCAGTACCAATCGAGTATACGATAATCTATAACAAAACAGATCCACTCGTGAGTGATTATAACTAAGTTATTAGTTGACCTCTCCCGTAAAGTCGTTCCCAATATTTTGCAAAGAGTTTTTCATCGTATTGATTGCATCTTGGACCGTAGTGGAAGTGGCCATGGTGATAGTAAACTGAAAAAGAGACTTCTGCATAATCTATAGACGGGAAAAGCACAACAACCAAATGATCACACCCTCAGAGTTCTTAGTCAAGACAGCTTAACAAGGTTCAACGAGAAGTTCGCAAAACTGTGCATCCTGAGAAAACGCTGGTCTAGATGGAACTTATGTCATCGCTAGCTTGAAAGCGAGACACCGATCCGTAAACAAAGAAAAAATGCTTTGTAGTAGCGGCTCAAACTGTCCTATCAAAATTCTGATTATTGACGAAGAAGGGATCTCGGATGTCGGTCTGCAGCAAACTGAAACCACATTTTCGATGTTTACCGCGCATGAAAGATAGCAAGTGTATTAGATGCAACAAAATAAGGGCATAAAAAGCTAAAACATGGAGTCACAATCTCGGTCAAATATTATTGCCTAATACAGCAAGCGCAGGATGTCCATTACAAGGACTTATACAGCTTTCGATTCTTAGACCAAACTTACTGTACCTATTCAAAAAAAAGTTTGCATAGACTATAGCATGGACAAAAATTTCCAAAAAAAATTACCTTTGCCCATCGTCTCTTCGTATTGAATATTAGTGTGACGATCTGTCTAACTTTTTCCTTCGGCGGAAGTGGTACTGACAAGAAGCAAAATGGGTCGAATTTTATGCTGACCTAAAGCAAATCCGTTAAATATTCTAAAATAGCAGAATTTTCGTAGCCTACTTTAGCGCACACAGGGCAAACTAGAGTTGATTTTAGTTGCCCATGAACAAGGTCAACAATGATGCTATCATTACGAGCTTTATAAGCCAACCACGACTTTTCAGCTTGCTGGAAATATGAATTTTGAGAAGAGGAAATCACTGAAGGATATATTGAAACCTCATGTTCTTCCAATCTTTCCAATGCTTCATCATCTGGGACATAGGGCTTCACTTTTATTCTATTCAAATCCTCGTGTAAGCCATCTAAGACGTAAGCTAGCAATTCCTGCGAATCCTGCTGAGCATAGCCACTGAATCGTGGAGCAAATTGACCGATCGTCATCTGGATGTGTGTTGAATGAGGAATAGAAATCAATAAAATTAAGCATAGCAGAAGGCAAGTAACACTAAGCGATATTTCAAAGAAAACTTGAAAGTATTGTACCTTGACTTTACGCGGCATAACGCTCGAGTTTTCTCCGGACCACATGCTGTGAAGAAGATCACCGTAAGCTCTGGCCAACTCTCCATGAGTGCCAAGTGGATTTCTCTCGTTAATATCCGCAATATAGCGATTGGATAAAAAATACTCTGTGAGTTCTGGGACATTTGAAAGACACTAAAAGGAACTTCTCAACAAAACAGCACTTCTGTACTTTTGACAAGTATCACCCACTTGGAGAGCTGAAGCCATGAAGCAAGTATTGCCGAGATTTTGGAGACCGCATGCTCCCTTCACAAGATTTCCATGTCTCTCCCGAGTATCGTAAAACCTGAAAAAGGATATATCATGTGCACATTTCTCAAAATCTCATATAGTAAACTCCTGATATTATCTGAGGAAAAATCAGCCCAAAACAAGAACAAGGATCTACACGGAGAGTACAACCCGCTTATGCTACAAGATCACACTAATCTACAAAAGCTGGGAACACTAAAAAGTCACATTTAAAACACACATGGTTGTCCTTCCGCGTCGATTTTATGTAAAAGCAATAAAAATTATTATGGGAATTCAAATCCGAAAACAAGCGGCAAAACTAAGGCGTAGAACCATGTGGAATTATAAAGTTTCACTCCTTTAGAGATGGAAGTGCAACGGAGAATTTTGAAAGAAGCATCAACAAAAACCAAAGACGTACATTTTGGAGAAGACACGTTTCACCACTAATGGTACATAGTCAGCAAAGAAACTTCTGTTACAACCGCCAACTACGCTAAATACAACGGAAATCAATTCAAAAGATACGTTATTTAGCAAGGACAGCACACCCAATTTGAAAAAGAGACCGTACTGAAGATATATAATAGCAATCTGCAATTCGGGTGCATATCTAAGACCGTTTGGGAAATAAATAAATTTGGCGACCCGCAGAATGTGAATACAAAGGCCACACCCATTGAGGTCCGCGGGTATTCGAAAATAAAAACAAGCGAAAATATGTACTACCCACGGACCTGATGGGTGCCAAATGAAGACGAAGTATGTACGTAACGATGGCGTACAGCCAACGCCAACTCGTTAGGTATCGGTAGGTTTGAGATAGCAGAGACCACCACGAGGACCTAAACGCGAATGACACAAATGCAGATTTTGCAATTTAGTGAGATCCATTAGAATATCCATGGGTTACCTAAAGTTATTATGACTGAGGATATGATTTTTCGTAATTTATGCTACAATTTTGATCTCGCTGTTCACTAGATCAACAGCAGTTCTAGATGATTCTGTAAAAAAAGTAAGCTTCTGACAGTGAAACGTTTTTCGATTCATCTCAGACAAGCCACCCACGAGAAAAAAAACAATTGTCTTGATTTGCTTTCTAAATTGAACGAAGACTGACGGTGGCTTCTGCGCGTGGAACTTTCGATGAGGGATTATCAGCAAATGTGTTGAGTATTGTTCAAACGGAAAGTAAGTTCCAGTCAAGGCGGGTTCATACTGATCCGTATGTTCTGGAGCAGTTCTCGCACTGTGCGGCAACTGTTCTAGAACTTTGCAGCATGCAGCGGTAAACCAGCAGTTTTTGACTTTCTAAAACGGTTTTTGGTTGTATATCTTGCCCATTTCTGTTTCTCTTGCATCTTGCTTTTTCTTGTGAAAAAAAAAGAACTCCGAAATCGAAGCAACGTTCAAGGAAGCTTTTCCATGTTTTTTCGTGCGTAAAAAATGTAATTTTTTCGCGCGTCCCTTCCTCGTGAATTTTCTGTGAATTATTCTTTGTGTATTTCAGAATGTTGCTGCGCTCGATACCACGAGCTGTCTTCAGGAATGACTGATACTATCGTCACAACTGCGGAGATCGCAAATTATTCTCGTGTTTTATGAAATTTGTTTCTTGGGCGTTTCAGCCCATTTCTTTTCACAACTCATATTGCCTGCTCATTCTTTTTTGATTACCATTCCGTTTCTGATGAAGGAACTTCCGAACTGGAAAAATACACACGGATGAAAGCAATATCAGTTTGTAACAGCTTTCAGCCTGATGTACATAATGAAGTAGCGCTCATTCTTGCACCCCTCTCCAAGCTTGCAACTTTTTTTATCGCGAGAGCAAGCGAGGTGCAAGAATGAGGTAAAAATAACAAAAATGCAACATGAAAACCGTTGAAGAAAATCAAAAATTGCTACTTCGCGCCGCTATTATGCTGCATGTGCCGCGCGCGGCTGCAGCACATGCAGCACAGCATCGGAATAGTTCCAGCACAGTGCGACTGTGCTGGAATAGTTCCAGCACAGTGCGACTGTGCTGGAATTGTTCAGGAACTTCAGGATCAGTATCAACCCAGCCTAGAAGACCCTCCATTTTTAGCAAGCATAACTGACATGGAGAGTCGATGCAGTGTTAAAATAAGTTAACACACCAAACTTCTGCATTTCAAGGGAACAATCATGAAAGAAAAACGTGAAAGCCAGTCCTGTCAAGAAATGAGAGAGGAACTGCAGTGAAATGAAGCCATTGGGAGATAAGCGTTAGAAAGGCACAATCGCGCATCAACCGCATAAGTCAAAAAAAATAGTAGATTTTCTAAATGTACAGAATGGATGTCTCAACAAACTCACGCATATGAAGAGAGAGAATTCGAGATATCATTTCGCGAACCGCCTTGCTTATCGTTATTTATAAACCACTTATCTTCCGAATTGCAAACATCTACGTAGACCTCAAAAAACAAAACTATGAGAGGTTTATGTGTGATAACCTGTAACTCACCTTCTGGGCCGTATCAAAATAGCTATCTACATTTTGTTGGGAAAGGTCTATCAACTCGTATTTATCACCGTGAGCTATATAAAAACGAAGTTTCTCCGGAGGAACAGATGACAGTCCAAGCGATTTGAGAGCACGGTCCCTCAGATCGACTATAAACAGGCCCGTCTTGTGGTGATATCCTGAACGCAGGCGAAACACTCAGTCACTTACGTAAAGTATCACTCCCGGTCAAACGCAATTCGCAACATCTGGAGTTGTCTCTAGCAAGATAAACCTGAACTGGGTTTTATGGCATGTGCAGACAACAGACGTGAGAGAACACTTCTCTTACATTAACAATACGAGGATAGACTTCTACGACGGGCTTCCCATTCTTTGAGACAACCTTTCGGCATATATAGTCACGATCGGCCAAATCAAGGCCGTATACATCCTTCAAACGGTTGAAAACAGGCTCTGGCAGAAGGTGGAAATCGATAGATTCAGCTAGATCGGAACGCAAAAAGTATGCATCTCCGGCTAAATAAGTAATGATAATGCTAGAGAATCATATATTCACATCATATTCAACATATGACATTCAAAACTAAATGATGGAAGAAGAAAATTTGAAAAATGTAAAAAGTAGCGAGGATGAAGTTCAAAGACTTACATTTGAATGATATAGAAGCATTATTTATGGACGGTATATCCTCGACAAACCCCTGTTTGGCAGCGTCTAGAACTTTCGACCACCATGTATTACTGACTACGTACCTGAAAATGCACGGATTTGTACAAATTTTGGATGAGCAAGAAAAATGTTTTTACAATAGAGACTTTCACAGTGACAACGGGCAAAGGCAGAAACATGAAAAAAGAAAAAAACTTATATGCTACACCACGTCCTCACGCTTGGCAAAACGTTATGGACGTGATTCGCTCTATGCAACACTGGTACAGGAGTTGCAAAGCACCTACCGAGTTTGGTCAAATGAGAACATAATTATGGTTCTTTTTGCAAGAAACATTCAGAAAAAAAGAAGAGGACCAAAACGCGTCAAAAATCCAAAAAAAAGTACGCCGCTTTCTTTGGAAAATTTAATAAATCCAGATATTCGGCATTATATGAGCGAATGGTTTCGAGTGAACGATTCGGAAAGACAAAAATGAGAATTTAGACGCTGCAAAAATGTAAAAAAAAATGAGACACTTCTCAAGAAGAGCATTTGTCCACACATAAAAACTCAGTAAATTTTGATATTCGGCATTATATGAGTGAAAATCCCACCAATTACTTTCTGCCTGTAATGGGTACTCTTGTACATCGGAGATAAGACGATTCAGCTCCTTAACAGTTACTCTTTCATTATTTTTCTTAGCAACCACAGTGTCCATTGGAGTATTCTCATCAGAGCCTCGCTCGTCGATCTTTGTCATCCCGTGTAGAACGGGCCTATAGATAGAGAAATTACAATACGGCCCAAGACAGCAAGAAAATGAGGCAGCCTCGAGAGTGGAAAAAGGGATAACAGACTGCATGAGAACATGTAAACTCAGAATGCACAAGAAGAGGACTAGGAGAAGAAGACAGATTCATCGAAACAATTGCTTAAAAAAAGAATCTTGTGATGAAAGGGACAGTAGTTCGGAAAAAAATTCCCTCGCTTTCTGACGCAATCCACGTACTTTGACAACAAACAGACGACTTTGGATGCAAAATTATATCTTGCAGTACTAACAGTGGTATTGAGAAAATCTTATCAGTTGAGGAGATAGCTGAACATGAAAATCAAACAAAGAATTTTCAAGGTAAATATTTCAAAAATTAGAGCTAGCGCTTGAAAAATGCACTTATGATGAAAGATTTGGTACGAAACCCACCAGCTATGAATCTACTCCTAGTAAATGATAAACAGATCATCGCGAAGACCACCAAAACTTCGAGAAATCATAGAAATGGGGCTATCCACTGCGCGTCCACTCGTCGCGAATGATGAGAAGATTGCATGCGGCGCACGGCGAAAGGACGTAAATTGCGGGTGGCGTCTGTTGGAGCAAGGAAACTTTTGGCGTTGTGCCTAAATTTTTCAACGTAGTGGAGTGGCTGAAGATATTGAGAACATTGTTCTAGCTTGTCCAACAAATCCTAGTGAATGTTAGATTGCCAAAAACGAATTTTGACTTGGTAGATCAAAAGGCAGCAAACGAATGACTTTAAAACAATGCAGAGAGGGCGCGCAAATCCCAGGAAAGGGTAGAACGAACTTCGCCAACTCAGACCGTTCTTCGTTGACAACTATTCCTTTTGTAGTGGTGTTGTACATCGTTTCAAGACCAGTAGTCCTCGGAGGAGGCCTAAGGGATCGTTCAGACCGCGCACAAAGGCGCACAAAGGCGCACGAAGGCGCATGAAGGCGCACGAAGGCGCGTGTGAGTGAGTGTGCGTGTCGAGATAAACGAGACGAGACAAGACGCGCCTCCGTACGCCTTTGCGCGCCTTTGTGCGCCTTCGTGCGCCTTCGTGCACCTTTGTGCGCCTTTGTGCGCGGTCTGAACGATCTCTAAATTGGCGGGGTTCGTTCCGTACCCCAAAAAACCATACAGGTAGGCTCACTGGCTGAAGAGTTGAGTTGTTATCATCCACTCCCTTTAATGCAGCGTCTAGGTAAATCTGGACATACGGGGTTCCGATGTGGAAAGTAATTTTGGCGCCCTAACTAGTACACTGCCCAAGCGACAGCTCAAATGGTGAATTCACAGTTGAGATATTCGCCTATGAACTGGACCCCTGGGTCGTATTCGCATGGATTCATGTCGCCACAAACGTGGTCCTCACGAAACTGATGTGTCGCGCTATATCCATGCAAATGCGATTATCTCCACTATGAATTCACCATTCGAGCTGCCGCTTGGGCAGTGTCTTAGGGCCGCATGCACTAATATCCCCGCGGGGAGGGGATCGCAGCTTCAGAAGAAAGCTTTATATCCTGAAGCTCCGGATATCTGGATTTCACGCTGTCTACCTATCCTTAAGTATTCCTACTACCCTTCACTATGAACATGTTGAAGAGGAGCGAGAAGCTGTACGAACCGCATTTTCCAGCTTTTGTATGATCCCTGATGATCCCCGGCGGTTTTCTTTAAAGTCATTTTTCTTTCTCCGAAGTTAACGAAAACCTTCCAAAGTTGTACTGAACATCTAACACAATACTGCTAAGCATGTTGCTGATGAGAACAAATGAGTTTTTGAAAAGTCGAATTTTTCGGTAAGCCTCAAATTTCGACCTGTGGATCATCGCAAATTTCATGACCTCAAAACATCATTTGTTCTTAGCAGCAACATGCTTAGCACTGTCGGGTTAGACAATCTGCACAACTCTGAAGATTCTTCGTTAACTTCGGAGAAAGAAAAATGACTTTGAAGAAAAGCGAAGGGGATCATCAGGGATCATACAAAAGCTGGAAAATGCGGTTCGTACAGCTTCTCGCTCCTCTTCAACATGTTCATAGTGAAGGGTAATAGGAATACTTACGGATAGGTACACAACGTGAAATCCAGGTATCTGGAGTTTCGAAATATAAAGCTTTCTTTTAAGCTGCGATCCCCTCCCCGCGGGGATGTTAGTGCATGCGGCCCTTAGTTAGGGCCCCAAAATTACTTTCCACATCAGAACCCCGTATGTCCAGAGCCTGGACGCTGCCTTTAATGCTGAGAAGCTGTGATATATGTCGGTATCTGTGGCTGGTACGGTTTGCAGGCAGTAAGAGGCAGACGGAAGATTTGGACACTGGGCTGATCTTGGTGGCATTGGTACTACTCCACATTAGTTCACCCAAAAAAATGAAAATCGTGGATTTCGCTGAAACTTCGTCTAAAGGGGTTATTTTGCACGCTGATTACGATATCACATTTATTTCGCACGATAATGTCATATGGTGGATTTATGGTAGGATTACAGACAGTCAAAGCCACGCATTTGCCCCAAACTTCGTCTAGGAGGTTATTTGATAAGCTGAACATGTGTGTCATATTAATTTCGTACAGTAACGCCAATTTTTCGGGTTACGGTGAGTATGCAGTAGATGGTGAAAAATCCCGAATTTGCTCAAAGCTTTGCCCAGAGGTATTTCCAAGCACGTTGACTACGAATATCCATTCGTTTCGCACGATAGAGCCTTTTCGTGGATTTTTGGAATCCAAATTTGGCTGAAAAGGGGAAATTGCTCTTTCACGCTTTGTAGCTCATTACAACTCTAACAATTGGGTATTGTTGCAACGAACGAACATCACATCTGCAATCAGCATGCTTAAAGGCAGTGTCCGGGCAAAAACTCGATTTTGAGATTTTGTGCTTATACGGGCCTATTCGCCATGCTGAATCCGAAAATCCACATTGGAAAGCGCGAAAACGGCGAAAAAGGGCTCTAACACAGGAGGGAAATCAGCAGGTGGGCGGGGCTTTCCCCAATGCGATTTCACACTCCCAGCTCCCGGAGCGATTTTCTTGATTCCGCTGGCCGTTCTAACCTCGCTACCGGCCAAGTGCGAATGATTGACTTGAAACCGGAAGCGAGAAGGTCGCTCCGGAAGCCGGGAACGTGAGTTCGCAGTGGGGAGGACCCCGCCCACCTGCTCATTTCCCTCCTGTGTTAGAGCCGTTTTTCGCCATTTTCGCGCTCTACAATATGCATTTTCGGATTCAGCGTAGCGAATAGGCCCAAGTGAGCACAAAATCTCAAAATCGAGTTTTTGCCCGGACACTGCCTTTAAGAACCTCTTCAGGCAAGGTTCTGAGCACATTCGGGATTCTCAATCATCTGCTGTTTACCCATCGTAACGCTAAAAATTGGCGCTACTATACGAAAGCAATACGATACTCATGTTCAGCTTGCCAAATAACCTCCCCAGACGAAGTTTGGGGCAAATCCGTGATTCTGACCCCTTATCGTAACCCTACCGTAACTCCACCAGACGGCACTACCTGCCAAATGAGTGTGATATGCGTAATCAGCATGCAAGATAACTCCACTAGACGAAGTTTCAGCAAAATCCGCAACCGTCATTTTCTGGGTCAACTAAGGCGTCGGGCAGAGTCACGCGATTTGATCGTCACGATTCAATCGCTACAAGACAAGTGTTACGAGTTCATTGCATGCCGATCTTCTTGCATTTCGGTTATGATAGTTTTTCAACACGACTAATCGCGAATAACTATCACAACCGAGATACAAGAAGATCGGTATGCAATAAACTCGCAACACTTGTCTTGTAGCGATTGAATCGCGACGAGCAAATCGCGTGAACTCTGCCCGAGGCCTAATGTGGAATAGCGCCGGTGCCACTTTACCCACGCAACTCCAACAAGCTTTCACAAAGGCAGCGTTTCGGCAAAATACTGCTTGATTTTCCGCTTATCTGACCGTCCCTGTTTCACAGATGCAGCTTGGAGAATGCGATTATTTAATTTCTGTTTCATTGCCCACATGGGCTTGCCCATTGATTAAATGAATAAATAATGTCGAGAACGAGATTTCCGGAGTCCTTATTTCAAATTAGAATGTGAGGCAGAAAGCCCACCAAGGTAAAGACGCTGAGTCGTCATGAGACCTCGTGGTCATAGGCTGCGCTCATACTGATCCGGGTATTCGGGAACAATTCCAGCACCGCGCGCAGTTTGCTGTGCTGAAACTGTCCCCGAACTTAAAGGCAGCGTCCAGGGGCAAGTCTGGACACATGGGGATCTCACGTGGATAGTAATTTTGGGGCCCTAACTAAGCCACTGCCCAACCGGCAGCTCAGGTAGCGCTCTAACGGCTGAGATATATCCCTCGAAACTAGACCCCGCAACCGTATTGCGCATGGATTCATGGCGCAAAGCGTGTTTCCTGGCGCGAAACTGCCATGAATCTATGCGAATACGATCGCCGGGTCCAGTTTCGAGGGGAGTTCTCAACCGTGAGAGCACTACCTCCGCTGCCGCTTGGGCAGTGCCTTAGCTAGGGCCCCAAAAGTACTTTCCACGTAAAATCCCCATAGGTCCAGATCTGCCTGGACGCTGCCTTTAAGGATTAGTAAACGCAATCATAGATAGCTTTGGTTGGGTTGACTGGGTTCATACTGAGTTCAGGAACAGTTTCAGCACTATTCTCACACTGTGCTGAAATTGTGCCGGAAGTGTGTTGCAGCGCTGCAGCTGCCTGCATGCGGTTTAAAGGCACCATCCACCCAAAATGGGGGTCAGTGAGATTTTGATGCCTAAAGTAGTGGGGCTCCCAACTATAAAGTATACATATCCGAACCGTTCGCAAAAGTTGCTTCCGAAGCGAGAAAACTGCTTCGAAAATTGCTCGGATGACAGATTCGCCACGTTGGCCCCTCCCCTTTGTGTGGGCGT